TAACAAATTTCATTGGTTTACTATAAAAAAGTTCGAGCTTTCGGCAGAGTTTTTAATAAAAAATTGCCGGAAAAAAGTAAATACGCTTCATTATTTAAGCGGTAGAATTTAAGTGGTGGAATTTAAGTTCATTCCCACAATGCACATGCATTTATGTAATAACGAAAATTCTAACAATGTCCTCTGACCAATTATAATATAAATTAAGAATTTTAGATTCATGTAATTCATGTAACTAATCTTTTTATGACATTTTATGACATATATGATGTCATAATAAAATTCCCGCACTTGATAAATAATCTATCATCCTTTTAAATTTCACATGCTCCAGTTTGATAATGCAATAAAGTTGATTGTTTTTTTTAATGTATTACGATGCATTACCTATGTCGATGTCACAATGGCATATCGTGAATGCCTTCTGATTATCGTGTCATCTAAAATACACGCGATTCGTTTTTTGTTTATCATTTATCTTTGTCAAATAAACAATAACAATAATGGGTCATTAAATCATAATTCAGTAATTAGTACTACTTGTTACTAATCATATCTATCATTGCTGCATTGTATCAGGTATGTAAATACTGTACTGTATATTATTCGAACTGATGACACAGCACACGTGACTCGTAGTCGCGTTTGTTATCCCGGAATATTGGACGCGACGTGTTTATATGAAAATTTAAATCGTAAAACTTTCGTGTTATGACTAATAAAAGTATTAGCATTCATACAGTACTAAATTTAACAAGTTAAAATATTTGTACAGAATATTTTATTTACTATTATATGCCGTATAGTAGGAAAAGAAAAAAAAAAATTGCGAGGAAAAAAATTATGCAAAATCGTTTTTTTTTTTTTTTTGTAATTTTTTTTAATAAAGAAAAAAAATAATTAAACTACCCTTTATAAATGCAAATATATATAAGATATTTAATATTAAGCCAATATACAACCGTGTAATTAATACCAATATTTTTACCTCAGAATTATAAAATATATTTAAGATTCGGCACTATTATTAGCAACTTCATTATTGGATTCAATGCTATTATTAACTACTTCATCATTATTGGACAAAGATGTATTCTTCCTCTTCGCTTCGTCATCACTGTTGGACATCGTACTCTTCCTTTTTGTTTCGTCATCGCAATTGGACGTTGTACTCTTTCTTTTTGCTTCGTCATCGCTATTGGACATTGTGCTCTTCCTCTTTGCTTCGTCGTCGCTATTTGACATTGTACTCATCCTCTTTGCTTCATCGTCGCTATTTGATATTGTACTCATCCTCTTTGCTTCGTCATCATTATTAGACATTGTACTTTTTCTTTTTGCTTCGTTATCATTATTGGAGAATAATAAACTATTTCTTTTTGCTCTATCATCATTTTCGGGAAACAATAGGCTCCTTCTCTTCGATCCGTCGCTATTTACACCTAATACTCGTTTTTCAACATCTTTAATCACAGCTACGAAATTATCCAGCCAATGGGACTGTCTTTTTTCCTCCTCAGGAATTATGATATTTTGTACAATCGTTTCATGAACCTCAATAATTTGATTGTTTATGTTTTCTACGTTTGTTGTATTATTTACTTCGTTGGTTTCATTAATGTTCGTTACTTCCTCGTAATTATTAATATTGATCGTTTGAACGTTTTCAATGGTTTCGACACGCACGTTTTGTGAATCTAAATCTTCTACGACATTAATATTTTTAACATTTGCATTTGTACTCTTTACATTCTCAATGTTTCGAGTATCAATATATTGTGTTTCAACCTTTGTTTCAACGTATTGAGTTTCAACATATTCAACATTTTTAATTTGTGTCTCGATATTATCCACTTTTATTTGTTTATCGACAACGCTAATTTCAACATTAGCATCAATTTTAGCATCAACATTTTCAACATTAGCGTTAATATTTTCAACATTAATTCTTTCAACCCTTTCAATATTTTCGATGTTCTCTACATTTTTAATATTTTCCACCAATTGATCAATACTTCTTTCAACGTTAACATTCACGTTCTCTACTTTAGTTTCAACGTTCTCAACATATTGATTTTCCACATCAATTTTATTTTCAATATTTTCTATAAACTGACTTTCGATAGTTGTATTCTCAATATTTAAAGTTTCAACTTTTTCGATTTTTGTATCAACATTTTCGATATTGGTAACATTTTGAGTTTCAACATGACTACCAATTTCAACTTTTTGTTCAATAGCGACGTTATAAGTTTGTTGCCGAATTTTTTCTTTTTCATAATCAGCACGTGCAGTTTCAAT